AAAGGAAACAATGCATATTTGAGGCTCATTATTTCCTGTTCAAAGCATAAAAAATTGTTCTCCAACCACACACTCATAGTTTTACCTCAGAGTGTTTAATTGCTATTTGAAACGGCCTTAGTTTCCCTCTGCTCTGTGAATTAGCCAGTAACTGAAGCAGAAATGTGTTAACTCTGACAAATAGCTGTGGTATTTAGAGTTGCATCTCTGTTGTTTGTTTATGCTAATAATGTGAGGTGGACACAAATATACTCACATAGACATCTATATTCCCTCTCTGAAACAGGAGCTTTATGACTTACTGTATATATATATATATATATAAATTTCATAGTAACAAGACTGTACTTTGTACTACTGTAGCACAAAGTCACTAATAATTAATTCTTTAAATGTTAAAGGGGTGGTAAAATGCCATTTTCACTAGATGTAAAATACATCTCTGATGTCCCCAGAGTGTGTTTTGTGTCTGAAGTTTTAGCACAAAATACCCCATATTTGTACATAACATGTTAAAGTTGTCACTTTTTGAGGGTTTGCAAAAACGTAACATTTTGTGCCTGACCCTTTAAATGCAAATGAGCTGCTGCAGAGGGCGGGGTTTCAAGAGCTTGTGTGAGTCAGCAGCTGCGATTTCCTCTCGCAGACACACTAAAATGACATAAACTGTTCTCCCTTTAATGTTAAACCGGAGTCAGTCAAAGATGGAGAGACTCATGAAGAAGTGACAACATGTAGAATCAGCCCGTTCTCATCCTTTAACGTCATATAGAACGCTATATGCAAAAACGGCGCTATAGTACGCACATGGCACCCTTTATCGTTAATATAACACGCGAACCCAAGACGTCATAAATCCTTTAGCGTGAATATGACACGCACACCCTACCCCAAACCTAAACTTAGCCCTCACAGCGCGTGTTATATTAACGGTAACGGGTGCCATGTGCGTAGTATAGCGCCGTTTTTGCATGTAGCGTTCTATTTAACGTTAAAGGATGAGAATGCGTTTGTAGAATGCAACAGGATGTCTCTGAATGGTTAGTTGATGAATTTATGTTGTTGATGTGGAGTTAACTATCTTCAATTAGCATATTCTGTCATGTAACCTACATAGGAACTGTTGTGGGATGCACACACATTGACTTTCTAATGCATGTGAAAAGATGGATGCTAAAGTTTGAGCTGACTCTAAAGTGCTTTTATACACCACTCTTCCTCTTCTCAACATGGACTGTGTGTTCCTGGGGGCGGGGTTTATGTACATTTTATGACTTTTATGACCTACCAGCCGTTTGTTGAAGTCCTTTTCTTTAAAAGCAAATATCTTCCTTTGTTTTGAACTTTGAGCGTTGTAACTTTGATAATGTTGTTAATGCTCAAACAGCAACATTACACACTAACTAAAGTTAGAAAAGAGAAATCAGTCTTTACCACCCCTTTTATATTAGACATAATACGGCTACGGTTGTCCATGACACAGCAGAATACTAATAACTTCCTGTTCTGTCACAATACTGAATTCTACTAATTAAAGACAGTTGGAGGAGCATGACAATACCCATTAATAACCCATTAATCGTCAAATACTATAGGAGTCAATGCACAAGAGAGAACTGCTGTGTAAGGAAGAGACCATAAGTCTTTGTGTTGAGACTTTTACCTGGTCACAGCACAGTCCCAAATGAACTGGCCCTCCATCACTACACTAAGTAATTGCAGAGAGCTTGACACAGAGCGAAAGAAAGAAAGAAAGAAAGAAAGAAAGAAAGAAAGAAAGAAAGAAAGAAAGAAAGAAAGAAAGAAAGAAAGAAAGAAAGAAAGAAAGAAAGAAAGAAAGAATTAAATCATTTATCAATTTTTTTTTATCCAAAGTGCCTTTTCCTGTTATTACTGGTTTATTATTGTGTTTATTTTATTACTACTTTATTTTATATTTTTATGAACTAAGTTTAGCTACATTCCTCTATGAAGAAAGAAAATCAAAGAGAAACAACAAAAGAAAGAAAAAGATAAAGGCAAATGGTCAACATTCTTTCAGAGGTGCCTATGATGCAATCTCTGGTAACTCCAGCAGCAAGATGAGGCCGTAGATGAATAGGATATAATTGCTCCTAGCAATAATTGAATATGTTGCTGTGCATCATATTCACAGTGCAGTGAAAATAATGCACAGCAACAAATATTCCATACAAAACTCAATATGTCTCCTAAAAAAGACACATTAAATATTGCATCAGAAAGAAGCAGGCACATTTGCAGATGCGCAGACAAGCAATGCAAGGTGAAAAATAGTGGACCCAAGAGAGTAAGAGAGATACATTTTTTATATATGTTTTACGGGTATATTTTCGGATGAGTGTGTACTGTACATGCTGTAAAATAAAATAATATGATCAATATGTTATGTGTGATGAAGAGGCAGAAGCAGTCGGATCATCTGCAGTCATTTATTAACACAGGTAATGAAATTACACATCAACCTCAGACAGGCATACAATGAAGGGACAATCCAGGAACAATTCCACAAGCTCTGCTGTCTGACCTCGACTGTACTACCACTGATAAATTCATGCCTGATCACTGCACTTGTCCTTTCATGACCCCACCTATTGCAGAATACGATAAAAAAAGGAAAGCAACACAAAAGAGAAACCTCCAAATGAATATCCCTCATCAAAACACACAGTAAAATCACATGGATGTGGAACCAAGCAATGTTGCACCTTTACCCTGCAAGTTGAGTGCTGAACAGGTTTGAGCAATAAGTGAAAGTGAACACTACATGCTCAAAACACATGGGATTCATTGTGACACAACAAGAGAGAAAAGTGGTCTTGGGATGACAAGAGATAAGAATACACTTTGGAAGTTCATTTAGCGTTCAGGGATAATGTGAGACTAGTGCTGATTTTCATGGAAGAATCAACACCAAGGGCGTAGCTGCCACCAGGGACATGGGAGAGCCAAAAAAAAAGTTCCCCAAACACTTTTCCCAGCTATACTACCTGATCTGAAAGAACATCCATACCGAAAGCATGGACATCTCCAAGAAATGCTCAACTGCTAAACACAAACTTTTCACACAGAGATTCCAGAAAATACACTGATAATGGGGATTTATGGGATTTGTCCCGGGATTGTTGAATTTTGGTTCATTCATATTGCCAGTGATTTTCCAGAATCTCTAAGTACTCTTACACATCCTATAAAGATCCCGTAAAGACACGTGAGATTGATGTGACGTCTTAAGTTTGCTTATTCGATCATATTAGCGCATCACGTACCATTCACTCAAGTTGGCGAACGATCTCAGCTTCATCATTACGACACACCCCTACCGGCATTGATTGTGGCTTTTGTTCACACAGGGATTGATCACAGCAATGTTACTAGCACCCCATCCTGGGATCAATGCTGAAATGAATCCCAGGATGTGTTTGCGTTCACACAGAAGGCACTCTGGCAATTTTATGGCAATTTTCTGAGACAATTTTCCATGACAACCATGTCACTCAAACTCAAGCCTCCCAGAAAATAGTCACCATCATCAATCCTCAGTGGTTAAACATCTGGACTATATTTTGTGACATACGGGTGTGTTGTTGTGTTTATACATCATCAGCCTTAATTGTTTTCATAATTTCTACAGTGAAAAAAAAAAAAAAAAAACTTTTCTGAGTTTCAAATACTATTAATCAAGCTCTGAAAATGGCTCGATTTGATTTGCAGGATCTGTGACTGGCAAATGCATTTTCATTTGACTGCCTCCTGAGTAAGACATTGCTATGCATTATCGCATCATAGGCCCCGCCCACTGGCATTCAGTCGCCTACACTGTGAGGGTTGTGTTGCAAATAGAACCCATTATAATTACAGACGCTGTCTACACTGGATATAGTATACAGATGCATGTTCAGTTTCTGACAGGGTAAATGGAAGAGTGGAAGAACATGTAATGGAGAGTTCGAAACTTTTGTTGAAAGATGTAGCAGCCAACTATATTTGATCTGACAACAGCTGGATAACAAACGGTAAACAATTTTACAACACTTTGTCTGTAAATTACGGTTTTCCGCATATACAGTAATGTGCGAAAGTATTTAAAAAAACTTGCTTACAACTGTTTGCTGTCGTGTGTCAGAAATACTAATAAGTTTACATTTCCAAACATTCCTTTAGTCATTAATTGTAATCAAGTGAGATTTTTGATTGCTCTAAACGTTTCAACCAATCAATATAGCAAACAGGATGCAGAATTGCAACATATAATCTAATAAAGTACTAAATAAAATAATTGAAATGTGAAGAAAGTTTTTTAAAAAGTAAAAGTAAACTAAACAAAACCTTTGTAGGCCGAGGAGGAGGAACAATTAATGTCTGTGAAATTCCAATTCAACTTCCTGTGATGTGTGGCCAATTCAATCCAGATTGAACTAAAAGAGAGCCGATTCTTCAATGCTGAATTTTGCGCAGCAACTGGTTGTGTGATAATCAATAACTTTGTTCCTAGAATCCTTCCATTATCACTGCACCTTGCTGAACCTATTACAGAGACCTAATGCATCTTGAGGGACTCTAACCCTCCTACAGACGGCAAGCACTTTGATGCATGATTCCTTGCTTCCACTGTACCAGGATTATTATGCTGCTACTCAATCAACCCCCTGCTTTCCTCGACTTTTGGAGTCATTTGGGAAAATAAATCTATATCAACTCTGTGTCATACAGTAATGAGTATGTGCATGTCTGTATATTTATGCATGCGTGTGAAGGGGTTAGACGGTGACTATACGTCTTTTAACAGCTGTCTGCGGAGACCTTAAAAGCTCACTGAAATGGAAATGTGGTTAAATATAGATTGATTAGTTTGTTTGTTGTTGCAGATTGATGTTTTCAGAATACATTTTGCATTTTTCTCTCATTTATCGGAACAAAACAACACGGCGTGCCACTATGTTTCACCATAAAATATCAGGAAATATCAGGATTGTGCTCACCACATGGAGAAGAGATCTTCCCTTTGGCCATGCTTTTGTTCTATTAAAGAGCCTTCTCGTTAGGGTTTGTCCTTTAAATCTGCAAGAAATCACAAAATAAATGTATTAAATAAGATCAGAGATGAAACAAATGCGAAAAAAATACGTGTAATTAGGAAGCAACCAACACAAACATGCAATCAACAGTTAGGAGAAGCTCAGAACACAAGCAAACAGAACACCCTATGGACGTGAAAACCAACACAGTATGTTATTACCACGAGTGCTGTCTGCAAGCTCGAGGTTTCCTGGCTTTACCCGTAATCTCTAGGGTTCGACTTTCATATGCGCTTCTAGCAAAGACTGGGCCAAGCCACTATGAAACTTTTGCTCAATCAATATCATGTAATATGTACAAAGCCCCACATGAATAAATAGGCTTTACCTTTTCTCCGCTTCCTCTATCCTCTTACGCACTACACAGGATGCTGTTCTTTGACACAGGACATTGTTCTTGTTATTTAAACCCCTGGAATCTCTCAGCAAGGATTCGAAATATCTATATCCCAGTCCATCCGAGCCTCTCCTCTCTGCCTTGTGGAAAATGGAAATAATTTTATTCTGACAATATTTCTCTCTTTCTTTTACTCTCTGAAAAGACACTAATGAGTCTCTCCATACAGGCCTGACGGTAGACAGAGGCAAGGTGATTATGCAAACACAAGGTCCTGAATTACTAATGAAAGCTGGGGGATATGTAGAAGACAACCGTGTAGAGGAAAAAAAAAAAAATAGAAAGTTTGTTTCTGGACTCTCTTGTAAAAATCAGTCCTGACACTCAGTTATATTAGTAGCCCATTAAGCAGTTCAAGGACAATAGCTGTTCTCCTGTTTGATCATTTATTCTCCGGATCTCGTTGTTATGCCTGGTGACTAAGACCAAGATGACTGGAGAATATCAACGGCCTTGCTAAGAACGTGTGCAACCTAGGTAACATTATTTTATTTACACACTGCAAAATAATGTTTCACAAGGCCACGCTGTCTCTAACGTTGATAACTTTGTTATCTTCCACAAAGAATTGGAGCAATAATCTTTTTTCAAGCATAAAGAAGCAAGTTTTGGTGCCACATGGATGTATATTATTTCAAAAGGACGAGCTGAAAAGCCCTTTGATATTGATTCATGCCTGTGGGTGTTAAAATCCACACAGAAAAAGTAGGGCAGCTCAACCTGTGCAAGGTGAAATTACAAAACGTGCCTTCCCTTTCTTACTCCCCTAACATGGCTGTATGTGTTCAGTGAAAAGACGTCAGGAGGAGGACAGCTAATAAAATCCATTTCAACCCCTTCCTTAATCATCAGCGGTAGTTTCCCCAAAGCCACCGACGTCATGGAGAACACACTAGGGCCATCAGCCTGTCATTGTTCTCTCAGACACTGTGGCATAAATTGCCTCTCTCTTTAAAGAAGAGAATGGCGATGCCTGGTTAGAACATCCAACTTTAGTTATAATTCATTACTTTTCAGAAAGGTAGTCACAGACATCTAGTTTATAGTTCATTTATTTCAAAGCTTTTGAAAACTAATAACTAAAATTTTATTCTTGATAGTTCCAGTTTTTCTTTTCTGAAATGATTTCAGCTTGTCAAAACAACAAAAAAAAGCATTTATTTTAAATTTATTTAAAATAAATTAGTATTTTCTACAATGACAAAGATACATTTTATTTCTTTTTAACAAAACTTTTGTCATAAGCGAGAACAAATTGTTTGAAATTTAAGGGGACAAAATAAATCAAGTACAAATTGTTTTTATAATGTTACAGGGGTAGTTCACCCAAAAATGTAATATCTGTCATCATCTGAAGATATGTTTGTTGATCTAAGAGCCCTGTTTGATTGATGCAAAGTTAACATCTCAGTTATGTACGATGGTGCTAGGCCAAATGTATCAAATAACCATACCGAGACGTACTGGTCCATTCTCATTTGTGTTTATTCTGCCTGAGTCTCTTCGTCATCTGGGTCTGATCAGAGACTATTTATATATTCCGATTCAAACATGTACAGCTGAATGACAGCGGGTCTCTCACTCTCTCAGCCCTTCTGCTTACCGACTGCCATAGGTATGCAAGTGTAACTCATCCAAAAGCCGGGCGGGGATATGCAGCTCATTTGCATTTAAGGTTGTATACACCAAAACAGCTCATTTTAAAACAGCCCCCAAAAATGACATTTTCAAATGGTTATAATTAATTAACGGTGGGGTATTTTGTGCTGAAACTTCACAAATACATTCTGGGGACACCCGAGACCAATATTACATCTTGTAAAAAGGGGCATAATAGGTGCCCTTTAACAGAGAAAAGAACAAAGGCCTGTATTGCGGCATGGTATGTCGTTGAACACTGGTATGTCCGTCTCATTGACCAGAGGCCACAGTGATATCTATCTCATTCAATTATTCTGCCCACATGGACATCTAAATCCTTTTCAGTCTCATGTGCTTGATTAGTCTTCAGTTCATGCTTGATTTGCCCTGTGCATCAACCTGGGGCCTGTTGTAATGGATAACAACACACCAATTAATGACAAATGCCAAATAGATGGCATTTAATTGCCATCTATTTGGCAATTAAATGCAGGAGAACCTCCAAGAGACTAACACAGACCAACGAGTCTGCTGCACCTCAGTTAAAGTTCTACAACAAAGTTCTAAACACATTATACATGTTACATATGTATTGCTAAAACATATTACAAAGGCTGTGAACTGTGAAGTACTGAAATGTGGAGTTAAACAGTTTTTCACCATTGCAATTTTACGGATTGTTTGGGCGGGGCTAAAACAGGGCTCGATGACGCACTGGAGCCCATGAGCTCCTGGAGACGCCCCTATTTGATGACGCACAGAGTCTGATCTCTCCCCTAACACACAATAACACTCCCCGAGCACATTTGCTTTCACCGCTCAATCGCGAGCACTGTCCTATTAGTTACTACAGCTGAGCCTACAGTTTGCTACCTAGCTATGCCTTCGACACAGACATGCATAGGCTACCTGGATGCGATCATGTACAAAACAGATCGGTATCTTCATTTAAATTCCCTAAAAACGATCACATCAAGAAGAGGTTTTTAGAGAACCAACCTTGATGAAGAGCTGAGGATCACCGCCAACACCTGCCTCTGAAGTGATCATTTTACACTGGATAGTTTTATAAACTTTCCTCAGAGACAACTGGGATTCACTGATAATCCACTGTTACTGGTGAACGGGGCCGAAAGGACTATCTCCCGCCTCAGTTGTTCATCCTCCCGTCGCGAAAGCAGTTTCACCTAATATCACCGTCGACAGCTTTCCCACTAGTGGGCGTGGTTTCAGCACAGCCAGCAGACACGCCCCCAGCGTTTGAGAACAGAGATAACTGCTCATTTTTTCAAGATTTTGATGGCTTATTTTATATACTTGCCGGCTTTTTTTATGATTCAAATTTGGCAGGGTGGCTAATAACACATTTTTCTGTGGTGTGACAAACTCAGAACACATACTTAATTTTAACTTTACAGGGACTTTAATTACTACAAAGAATGAAAGAGTTTAATAGTACATTAAAGGTAAAACTGCAAGGGTGAGGAGTCGCCAGTCAATGGCGTCATATCCGTGCTACTCTCAGTTTCCACCTGGTTTGACCTCGTATTGCCATAGTAACCATGGTGACAGACGTTGACAACTGGGTTATGCTCATTATGTTCATGCTCTTGTTGTTTTGTTCAAGCATTATTGACCATGGCAAGCAGACTTAGAGAAAAAAAGAGGACTAAAATGAAGATCAACTTTCGAGATGCCGAGAGCTCCAAGTCCGCGACTAACGTCGACTTGACAGAGACGCAAGTGTTTAAAATAAAAACAATTATTTTAAATTTCAATACCCCCCCCCCCTTTTTTTTTCTGTATTTTGTTCAAATAAATGCAGACTTAATGTGCATAAGATACTTAAAAACAAACAAACAAACATTAAAAATAGTAATATTTACAAACTTTTGATCAGTGCAGTTTTCATATAAACACAAGTAATTTTAACAAGGTGAAAAACAAAGGTAAGGGTATATGTCACTTATATTATTATCACAACCAAATAAATGAATTACTTGGGGAAAAAAAGCCATGCTGTGTTGACCTAATTTCAAAGCAGTTTAAAATAACAGCTCCTGATTTTGCCTTTTTTTCTTTATCAGTGATCTTTCTGTCTGTGCTACTTTAGTTCATGTCTCCCATTCATTACACGCTCTCTCTCCCTCTCTGTGTTCAATGTCTTTTTCTCTCCCTGTGTTTCTCCTTTGTCTCTGCTCTTTTGCCATGTTCATGTTGGGTAAATGAGAAGTGGCAATGCACACAGACACATGTACAGTGTCTGTTCTCATTATCTCAGGAAGAACTGCCACCTCCCTCGACCCCAGTGGGACTGTGTAGTGCAATCTAAGGCAAAACAAACTGAATGCACTGAGAGCACTCATCAAATTAGTGCAATCACAAATAAACAACAAACACAGAAGCAATATTTTAGAAAAGAAGGGACGGATTCGGTGAGAAATAGAATTTTTCACATCAATCTCCCATATTTTATTAATAATATAGAGTATAAAAATAAATTAATACTTTTAACGTGAAAACGTGACAAACGTGAAAAGTAAAATAGATGTTTATAATTCAGAAAAATGACACTGAAGGCTGGAGTAATGGCTGCTAAAAATTCAACTCTGCAATCACACGAATAAATTATGTTTTAAAATATATTACAATAGAAACAGTATACTAATATGTCACAATATTACTGTTTTACTATATTTATGATCATATAAATGCACCCTTGAGCATAAGAGACTCAATCCATGTAATTCTTCGAGGTGTCAGGACTGTTTCCCGTAGCACAGCATGTTAGAGAGATCATTACGTGAACATAATGAGCTTGTTAAGGAGAGTTTAACCCATGGGCAGAGGAACAGAGCATTAATCTTTTTGCTTTTGGCTAATTAGGGTAAAATCCCCGAACAAAGGCATATCAGCATTGTGACCCCTGTCTCCATCCTCTCATT